TGGGACTCGGATTGTGACCGCGGTGAAGGACTGGGATGGGATACTCTGAGACCAGATGGTGGAGGCTTGAGTCTTGAGCTGATGACACATGGGCCAAAGAGAGCGCTGAATATTTTTGGGCGAACTTTTAAAATTGAGCTTTTAAATGGTTGAAACATTAAAAGATGACCTTAACTTGTACCTGATAGTAAGGAGTAAGGTGAATAAACTCCTGCTATAATCGATCAAATGGATGGACTCTCTCGTGAGCGGTTTTGACTCTCTGTAATTTATGATATTTTCATCAATCAATCTTAGTGCCAGCAAGGAGCTCACTGCGAACATTCTGATCTTCTGTTGATGATCTGTTGAATGCCTGAGCTGTGCAGTAGTAAAGATAAAAACCAAAAGTCAATTTGATACTCCTTATCTTCCGTTCACTAGACGCTTCAAATAATGGTTCAAATTCCATCTTTTTTTTGCATGAATCGAGTCCGTTTTGCCCACATAGGGGCATCATTGGGCTCTTTCCCACTGCTACTCTGCTTCTCGATGTCACTCATGTTCTCTTTCTCATAACTGAAGTGTTCTGCTGCCGAAATTTTACACAAGGCGTCTACCTCCGTGGTGGGCGCCGCTCCCCACACTTTCTTTAACAGTATGTGCGAGTGACGGGAAATCCCCGTCAAACGCACGCCTTTTGGGACCGAGAAAAACTTGTCTCAACGACGACCGTAGCGACTTCCACAGCACGCCAAGGCTCGTGACCAAATTTTTCTTCGTCACCGAGTCTTGCCTCCACCTATTTTCTAATCGTATTACGCAAATTGTCATGAACCTTTTCTCAAGAAGCAGCCCAGTTAGAGCTTCTCTCTCTCTCTCTCTCTCCGTCTCTCTCTACGTCTATTTCGATCATTTTATCCGTCCAGAACTTCAGTCATTCAAAGTTCATGTATGTGCCACCTGCCTCGGCACTCAAGACCTGGTTGTATGAGATACACATAATGCCTGATACATACTGATGCTCTTTTTGACAGTTTTGAGTAAAATTCTGTTCTTATAAGCGGGCAATGAACATCATGACTGCTATCAAATTTCTTGTTGTTTCATCGATCTTCGCATGGTTCTCCAGAGACGGTCTAATCTGATCAGCCTTTTAAATCCCTACGCTATGGTACATTTCCAAGATGATACTCGAGACGCGTATTTGTGAGTTCATTCCCTTCTTAGCGTTCTGCTGACATGCCATGGTTACAGGGTCAGGAATCACCGACATTATCCATCTCAAGAAACACATTGCACCATTCCTCCTTGCTAGGCTTAATCCGGTCGGGAGTCATCGCGAGCTATAATCATGGTGGCTAATATGTTGTAGATATTTAGGCCCTCGACTCCCGATTTTACTTGGTCATGCAAGATGAGGTCCTCTGGTGTACCTCCCGCCATGCACCAATCAAAAAACAACCACCCCTCAGTCCTGAAAAAGGGATTTGCCAGCAAAGTTTCGCGGAGGAGGAAGTTCTCATCTTATTTTCGATTCACTTTTGTAGGAGCTTCTCCCATGCTCTGGCTTGCTGATTCATCTGCTCCAGCTTGTTTATGTCTGCTTTTGTTGCGTTTCCCAACTTAAACAGGCGTATTAGACAATTGTATAGTTCTTTTTTGTATCCAGAGCTATCTGCCATGAGCATGCTGTATTTGATGACAAGTTCTTTTCCAAAGGATCTTCCGCGACTTGCCTCCCAATCTGTTGATATTGGCTAGAGACCCGCTCCGTGCTCACAATCACTTCCCACGCTTGTCCGTTCGTAGAGACGGCTTAATCTTCACACGCTGTGGTTTAAGATCTTGCTCTGTTATTGGCTCTAGACTCGACTTTTTCTCTCTTGTCAGTGTGGCACGTTCCAGCTTTCTAAAATTGGAGTCCCTGTATCCCGAGGTCTTCAATCTGCTTAGTGGCCTTGGGGATACCTCTGTCATTTTCCTCTTCAAAACTGCTTCTGCAGATGGACTGTTGTCTTCTGTCTCATGTTTCCTCTTGATGGGCCTTGGCTCTTTAGGCAAAGGTGTAGACTCCACAACCACCGACTGTGCCGTTTTCTCAAGAACTTGTGCACCTTCCTTTCCTTCTCCAAGCTCCCCTAGCCCCCATCTAGCCTTTTTTTACATGATTTGGGGTTTTGTTGGTCTAGTCTTCCGGATGTGAACCATCTTGTTGAGTAACTCCTCTCTTGCTTTTTTATCCAGTCCAGATCCCTTAGAATAGATTCTCCGAACTCCATCACTATTTCCATCACCACAGCTCTTTCTTGAACTCCTCGACATCAACCCATCTCACTTTTTTTCGATTGAACTGTTCTCCCATTCTTCCGATGTCAGAATGCTCAGAAACGCCGTCTTACTTCCCTCAAAGTCATTATCCTCCTTGCTGTTGTCTGGTCACGTTCTCCTCGCGTCCTTTCCAGACTTGTCTTCAGTTACATGGTATCTCGCTATTCTGCTTCCATCTGCTGCGCCCGGATCATAGAGGGAGGTTTAGCGGCCGATTGCTCCTCAGGTCTTGTCGTCGGTTGCTTGGGGAGAGGGAATTCCCCGGCAACATATTTAGTGAGGTTGCTCATCCTGGGTCTCTGGCCGAGTCATATCCCCTCAATCCACTCAGTTGACCTTCTCGTTTTCGCTCTCATTGCGCTTCCGTTTTCTTGAGTAATTTTCAGTTTCCTTTTTACGGTTTTTCTCAATATCAATTTGAAAAACAAAGGTATTCAATTACTTTTTCTTTATCGGACTCAGCACCATTTGTTTTCTCCATCAAAGAAGATTAATCATGCTAAGAAACTTGAAGACGTCATCAATAAATTTTTTCATGAAGTTTAAATTCATTGAAGGAGTTTTTCAATTGTTATATAACAGCGCCCGGTGTGAGTGAATCAAGCATGTGGTTGGTACCAAAAACCCACTGATACCGGCACCATACTAAATTTCAGAGGCTCCGCACCTTTGCAGTACAAAAGAAACGTTTTTGAAGGGACGGTTCATAGGGCTTTCAGAATCACCTCAATATGGGAATATTTTGACCGGGCATTGGAAAAAAATCGGACGCAATGGACTGAAAATCAATATCTAAGAAATTGGTCTGACAGGGTAGTGTTTGAAACTCTTAACAAGATCATTGAGGGAAAGAAAAATTTAGAGATGAAGGCATCAGAACCGAGAAATGATAAATGGTTAAAAGACTCACCACTCCTTCTTACAATGCAATATCGAGGCAATCCATCTCAACTGTTAGCTGCAAAGTTTCGGCTAATATCTGTGGCACAAATAATTTTTACAACAAGAAAACTGATAACATGCTTGCCATCCCTCAAAACTTCCTTTGCTCGTGAACTGAGATCCAAAGTGGTGTACAACCTTACATGTAGTGGATGTAACTCCACCTATGTCGGCCAGACAGTCAGACATTTAGCCACGAGGGTCGATGAACACCGCAAAGGGGACTCCCCAGTAGGACAACACTTATTAGAATAAATTAAGGAGGTAGGCGGTACCGTTGAGCTGAAGTCAGAGATTATAGACCAAACACTCATAAGCTACTGACACTAGAGGTTTTGAATATTCGGAGGGAGAGGCCAAAGATCAACACACGCGATGAATTCAGAAGACGGGAATTAACACTAAACTTATAGTCCATGTATAACATGGCTAAAAATTAGAAAATTGACCGGTCAGAATCAAAAATATTCCCCAATCGAAATTTTATAACCATGAAAGAACAAAAAACTAAAAAATCTCAAAAATTTAAAGGAAAATGTTATTCATGATTACATAATTATATTATGTAATTACAGTTGTTCAAACTTGAATGGTTAAAAATTTTTAGAGCCTTTTCAGACATGTTTCTCATTTTTCAGATCTTTGGTTGTTCTGTAAATATTGTAAAAAAATTTAATCCTGATGATGCACAAAATGTGCGAAAACGTTTGAATTAACATTTTAAATTTCTTATACTCTCTTGAGTACTCGGACATCTGAGATAGCTGTATTAACATAATTGTCCAGCTCTTAATCATTACTTATTGTCCTATTGTTCCTTTATTAACAAATTTTACATCAACGCATAACGGACACTGAAACCATTGGGTTTTCTTGGAGTCGGTAAGAGAAATATTTACACAACTGATATGATACCAACTAGAACAACAATCACATCCAATCCAATTTATCAGTCCTGAAGGTTTTCAGCAATCTTGACTCAGCATAAAGGTAAAAAAAAGGATTTTGACTGGACTTTAGGGGACTGAACCAACCCATGATAAGCGGTTAGTGGGAATTTTATAAATCGGCAAATATAAAGAAATTAAAGACAATTAATTTAATTTAAGTTCTAAAATCGATTTACAAAATCGAAAACAATAAACAATCTCACCCGAGCTAAGTAGGTCCAGCGGTGCACCACCTGACTCTTCAAGCCAGTTCAAGTTTCCCACCTCCCCACAGAAAGCCACTTGACAGACCTGTCTCTAAAATACCTCAGAGGGCGCTCCACAAACAGGCACAAACATCAATTATAACAAATCTATTTAATAAGTTTATCCCAGCAATTAGGCTCCTGAATTAAATAACATCAATTTTGTTTTCAGATAATGAGAAGCTAGGACCTGAGGGAAAGAGTTGATCAATCCCCGATGGATATGATGATTTTTATCTACTAAATAAAAACAATAGTAAAATGAAAAACAATATTAAACTGGCTTTGGTAGAGACGGATAATAAGTAGTAGGCCTGGTTTTAGGAGTGACTTCGTGGTCTGGAGATACTGAGACCCAGCTATGAGCTCACTATTTTTGCATGTAACTAAATTAATTTGGCCGATAGCCTTAAATAGTAACGACTTTGTCGTCCCGATGTTAATGGACCACACATTGAACTGGCTTTGGTGGAGACGGCTAAAAGCAGGTGAAGCTGTGTTTAGACGCTAGCCATTCGTTTTAGGACCTAGTTTGTTTTAGGACCTACTTTGTTTTCCGTCGGTAAGTACTTCCGGGCGAATGTTATATATATGCCTCCGTTTAGGAATTGTGCCTTCCTCTATGTATATTCCAAAGAGTTGTTGACTACGCTATTTGATGAAGGAAGAGGGATGTCTATTCGGTTATGTAAGTAAACCTGAAAATTCAAGCCCAAGTTCAATCTCAAATTGCAATTTTGTACATGGATGGAAAGATAGAAGCCGGTGTTTTTCTCAGAAATGGCTCAAAACTCATTTTTAATTTCAGACTAAATGAAATTTTTGCCGAACCTATTGGGCTTTCTCGAGCCCCTGGGCTACCGGTCACCCGAAAAAGAAGGAGACTTCAATTTACTTCAAGACATACAAACACGTACCCTTACATATGCTTCGCTTCCGGCAGCGCTTGCATTGCACTATTCCGCGAACTACTGGTTTTCAAGAAATCCCAACATGTACCACAAAAGCTATATATTGATGGGTTTGTTCTATGAAATACTGAAATTATAGCATTGTAGTAGTTCTCTTTTTAGTAGAATACTCATTTCCGTGCAAAGGAAGAAAAAACATACGAAGTAAAATTTATTGCATCTATATCTGTCAATCTAAGAGTTTTCACAAAACTTGAAATTATCATCTCTGTAGTGAGACTCTCTCAGGGTACTCTCAGGAGTTGCGAATTTTGCCGCCAAACATGACTGCTCAAATCTGTGTAGTTTTGGAGATATGACGTTTTTTTATGATTTTCTCTGAAAATTTCAAAAAAAAGTTAAATGTTAAAAATTCCAAAAGTTTGAAAATCTCAATCCTACTATTGGAATTTGTGAGGGTACTCTCAGCGGGTTTCGAATCTTTCCTCTGAATATGAATGCTCAATTTCTTGTAGTTTTCGAGATATGACATTTTTTTAGGTTTTTTTTTCAAAATTTTTCAGAAAATTAGGTATAAAAATTTTCACAAAACTTGAAATTATCATCTTTGTAGTGAGACTCTGTCAGGGTACTCTCAGGAGTTGCGAGTTTTTGCCGCCAATTGTGACTGCTCAAATCTGTGTAGTTTTCGAGATATGACGTTTTTTATGATTTTCTTCGAAATTTTTTAAAAAAGTTAACTGTTAAAAAATTCCAAAAGTTTGAAGATCTCAATCCTATTGTTGGAATCTGTGAGGGTACTCTCAGCGGGTTTCGAATCTTGCCTCTGAATATGAATGCTCAATTTTTTGTAGTTTTCGAGATGCGAAATTTTTTGCTTCCCAATTTGATGGCTGAAATCATTGTAGTTTTCCAGATACGACGTTTTTTGTGATTTTTTCAAAAAAAAAATTCAGGAAAATTAAATAATTTTTTTTTTCAAAGTGTGAATTTCGTAACCTGTATTAGGGGGGCTGTAACAGAGTAATCTCAGGAGTTGCAATTTTGGCCTCCTATTAAAATGCCCAAATCATTTTTGCTTAGGAGATACGACGATTTTTGTGATTTTTTTTGGAAATTTTCAGAAAACTCCAATTACCAAAAAAAATCGTTAAAGTGAAATTCCCAGTCCTGTAGTTGTGTACTTTTGCTTGGTATTTGATTGCGAATATTGCTTGGTAGTTTTTGAGATGTGAATACTTTTTCTCCAGAAAACTGAAGGTGAATGTTCTCAAAATTTGAATTTCCCAACGTTGTAGTTGGGTACTATAAGAATACTCTCAGGAGTTGAAAATCTTGCGTCCAAATGCGACTGCTCAATTGCTTTCAGTTTCCCAGATGTGACGTTTCTTAGTTCGTTTTAAGTTTTTCGAAGACTTTATATAAAAGTTTTATGGTTCTTCAAAATGTGTATAAAAAACTTGAATAAAAAACTTTGCAAAATTTGTAATTACGAACCCTGTAACTGAATGCTGTCAATGTACACTCAAAGAATAGTTTTTTGAGCTGTTGAAAATTTGAAGCACCGGAGGTGCGGTATATGCTAGTTGTATTTAGGATATGTTGTATTATTTTCAAAAAACTAAGATCTTGAAAACTCCACAGAAGAGAAATTCTGAACTTCATTTCGGGGTGCCCTCAAGGTACTCCTAAGAGGTTCTTATCTGGCTTTCAAATTTGAATTCGGTTGCTCAAGACCTTTTACTCTGGGATGATCTCATGGTAGCAGTTGCAGATACGGCTTACTAGGTTTCATTGCGGAAATTGTTGTGTTTTTCGAGATATGATGGTTTCCGCAGAGGCTAGCTAGCCAACAGAGGGTAGGACTCAATACGAAATTTAGAGCCGGTCATCGCCGCCAAGCGCGATCACCGGCTCAACGCATTTTACTTATCGAGACATGGCGTCTTTATGAGTTTTCGAAACTTCCAAAAAACAAATTTCAAAAGTTTCTCAAAATTGGAGTATGTTGACCTTTGGGATGATCTCATGGTAGCAGTTGCAAATACGGCTTTCATTGCGCAAATAGTTGTATTTCGAGATGTGATGTTTTTTTTGCGTGAGTTGAACAATTTTGCAAGAGTTATTTTGAAAACTGCGGTTAGCGTAACTAAACAAAACTAAAGATGTTACCAAATGTCAAACCCTAGTCTCTGCTAGATATGCTAGTTTTTTCATCATCAGTGAATTGTTTAATGTTATCGAGCAAATTTTTATATTTTGATATGATCACAAAATTAGAGAATATGTCATCTAATAAATGAAACTCCGTATCTTCCTTCTCGTAATCAGGACAGTCAGGTGACTCTATCTTCCCCATTCTGTGTTGCGAAGCAAAGCAGTGACAAAGCAGCTGATCTTTTATCAACTTTGACAGTGTGCTGTCTTGTCAGTTTACTCAGTCCTACCGGTTCAACTTGTTATACTCTTTTTTAAAATCCGCGTCCTCCTTTTTCTTAGCTCTTCTAACAGTTGATTTAGCTGAACTGAGCGTAATTGGTAGCTCCGACTGCTAGCTTCTGCTTTAATTATGGCCTTGTTCATTTCCTTTTATCCCGCAGTGTGCTGGAAACCACATAGAAGTCACTGTCTTCAGTAAGTATAGCTGTCTCCAATTCTGGATTTAAGTGATTGACTCTTGACAAGTAAGTCCCCTCTTGAAGGCATTAGCAGATCCAGTACAAAGAAGTATAGGTTTCCAGCACAGTACTCCAAAGCAGTGTTTTGCTGTCATCTCAGCTTGAAAACGTGAACAGCATCTCCCAGACGGTGCTCGAATAACAGCACTCCACAACAAGGTAGTCTTACTAGACCCACAGCCTCTTATCTATCTGTTGTTCCTACAGACCGATCAGTTCAGATGCTGATGTCAAAGTCTTCGAGTGAGTTTTAAATCTCAATCGCGTTCTGCTTCCTAGCATCGTCCGACAGACTCTTCGAACACTCTTCTGTGGCGTCCGTCAAAGGCTACTACCCATCTCAGCCAGCCATCGATCATTCGGCAATCTACCCGGCAGTCCAACCACCTTTTCAGTCAGTCATGCAGTCATTCATTATCGATCTAGCCATCAATTTTAATTTCGATCCGTCTCGGAGCCATCGAATTGTCTATGATCGTTTCAAAGACCGGGAGTCAAACATCTGCCAGGACATTAACTTTTTCCAGCTTCAAATTTTCTTCTTTCTCAAAAATGATGCAAAAAAATGTTGAAATTTTGTTTCGCAAGTGGATTTTAATTTTAAGATTTCCCAGCGGAACAAAAATTTCAGCTTTTGATCCAGTTCTTTCACGTTTTGTTGGGGAATGCTTCCTCATTCTTCCGAGTACTGAAAGTATTCGATGCAAAATCAGGTACCACAAATGGCCAATGTATTGGGTCGATTGATAAATAAAAAAGCTATTTCAATGGTTTAGCGTGTATTGCAATGGTTAAGGTTTTATTTTCGATTTTCCAGTTTAAATTCAGCGTTTATTTCATCAAGTTTGAAATTAGCAACCCAATAGTAGGACATTGTCAGAGTTTTCCCAGGTTTTGCGATTCTGGCCTCCATAGATGAATAAACCAAATCCTTTTAGTTTACGAGATAAGCAATTTTCGAGATTTTTCAAAATTTTCTAGAAAATTTAATTTTGAAAACTTCTCAATTTTTGAAATTTTCACCCTGTAGCTGGGTGCTTTCGGGTTACTCTCAGGGGTTGCGAATCTTGCCTCAACTCTCACTGCTCAAATCCTTGTAGTTTTCGAGATATGACGTTTTTTTTTTTTTTTCAAAGAATTTTCAAAAACTTAGATATAAGAGTTTTCACATAACTTGAAATTATCATCTCTGTAGTGAGACTCTCTCAGGGTACTCTCAGGTGTTGCGAATTTTGCTATTTGGCGGCAAAATTCGCTACTCCTGAGAGTACCCTGAGAGAGTCTCACTACAGAGATGATAATTTCAAGTTTTGTGAAAACTCTTATATCTGAGTTTTTGAAAATTCTTTGAAAAAAAAAAAAAAAAACGTCATATCTCGAAAACTACAAGGATTTGAGCAGTGAGAGTTGAGGCAAGATTCGCAACCCCTGAGAGTAACCCGAAAGCACCCAGCTACAGGGTGAAAATTTCAAAAATTGAGAAGTTTTCAAAATTAAGTTTTCTAGAAAATTTTGAAAAATCTCGAAAATTGCTTATCTCGTAAACTAAAAGGATTTGGTTTATTCATCTATGGAGGCCAGAATCGCAAAACCTGGGAAAACTCTGAAAATGTCCTTCTATTGGGTTGCTAATTTCAAACTTGATGAAATAAACGCTGAATTTAAATCTGCGTAGTTTTCGAGATATGACGTTTTTTATGATTTTCTCCTGATAAATAAAAAAGCTATTTCCGCTGTAATTGAAATAACATAAAGAAATTTCGGTTTCGATAGAAGCGGATTTGAAGTTTTGATTTTCAGTCTAATTTCAATGAGCGAGTACGTCTTTATCTTTGAAATCGGGTTTTAGTCTTTTTTTCCCGTAAACAACTTTATCCACAGGACTCGTCTGCTGGACTCATCCCTGCATTGTTTCATTGTATTCAAATTTCTTAACTTTCACGGTCAACTTAGCTTAGAGGTAACGAATATGCTGGGGACGCCACAGGTCTTGGGTTCGAATCTGACCAGGGCTGTTTTTTTTTCAAACGAGAAACATTCCGTTTCAAATAAAATTCTCGGCAAATTTTTTCTCTGCTTCCTTATCTGTTGTCGGCTTAGTTGTCACATCTCGAAATTGTTTTTTTTTCTGCGCGATTTTTTATGCTGTTTTTTGGGGTTGGTTTACGCCTATAAATTGTAATTTTACTTACTTTGACTTCGTTTTCCCTTCCTGGTTTTTTTTGTTTCGCTAAAAAAATTCCTCGGCCCAATATATTTCGGCTTATTTTTCATCGTCGTAATGACCTAATTTTGAGCCGTTTCAAGATGAACTCAATTTTAGCTCTCTACTCCGCCTTTTTCAAGTTGGTTGTATGTTTACCAATTTATTTTTTGAAATTTCATTTTTTTTTTCGTTTTGGAAACTTTTTTCATTTTTTGCAAAAGGTTTA